AACATATCGCTATCCCGAAATTCATAAATCAAAAGTAAAATCGTAAGTCAATAAAATGTTGGATCAAGGAATATTCCAACATAGAACTTCACCCTGGTCTTGTCCTATTTGGATTGTACCAAAGAAATAAGAATCTTCAAATAAACAAAAATGGCGAGTTGTCATTGATTATATAAAACTGAACGAACGAACAATAGACGACAAATACCTCCGCCCTCTAATTACTGAAATTTTAGACAAATTAGGTAACTCCCAATACTTCACCACTTTAGACCTTGCAAGTGGATTTCACCAAATCGAAATGGAGGCACGTGACATTAAAAAAACTGCCTTTTCAACAGAAATATGACAAAACGAGTTTAAACGAATGCCTTTCGGTTTAAAAAAATCCCCCCTCGATTATTCAACGTGTAATGAACAACGTCCTTCGCGGTTTACAAAATTAAACATGTTTAGTTTACTTAGACGATATTGTCATTTTTAGTACATCATTGGCCTTTTCCAAGGTCTAGTAGCTTCTAGGACGCTTAAGGTAGTTGTCGTGGTACAATATTGTAAAAGTATACGAGCTTGTAGCTAAGTGATTCATAATTTTTTCGCAAGACTGTACCCTTGGAGACGTTACCTTTACGTAATACTTTCAAATATTTTCATAAGTTAATCCGGCAACGTCCCTTATGCTCAACCAATAGATATATTGGAGACTGAATCAGTCTGTTTGAATTTACTGCGGAAATAATATCTACACTCGCGTACAGCGTTGCCAAGTTGCTTTTATCTGACACTAGTGATGTATACAAAAATTTAAAATTTTCTGATGGTATGCTTACAGCACGACAACTACCTTAACGAAACGGAAAAGAGTTATAGTGCCATACACAAAGAGTTACTAGCCATCGTTTGGGCTTGGAAATATTTTCGACCCTATTTATTTGGCAGACAATTTACAATATATAATGGCCATCGCCCTCTGATGTGGTTATTTAGTTTAAAAGAATAACTTCAGTGGGGACTAAAACTAGATATTTATTATAAAAAAGGTAAATTAAATTTAAACGCAGACGCAGCTCTTTCCTGTATTCCAATAAATTGTTTAGATAACGAATCTATGGCAACATGGCGACTAATGAAGATTTGTTTACAGAGTTAAATAAACTTATTGACTTTTTAATAAACAGAAAGGTTCCAACCAATGTCGTTGTAAGTGATTCGGTAAGAAAGTTAGTGGAGTGCAACGAAAACAATGTATTTATTGACAAAACACGTGAAAGCTTAAATCTAACCTCCAAATTTTTTTCCGACGAAGTGCGTATTTTAAAACTGGAATATGAACTACAGTTATCAAAAACAGAGGTAGTATATTCCAAAAACCTAATGATGGAATATGAACGTTCAATTAATAATCAGCTATTAGTAATTAATATGTATAAGAACACGATAAATTAAACATTATCATGCAACGTTGCCTTACTGGGCACTCCTATATACCACCTGGTGGTCTTTGGTAATGTTGAGAAAAAAATCAGGACCCATGAAAATATTGTTAGACCAGAGGAATATAAAAATATCATCTCTGAGTATGGGACTATTCAAACACTTGGAACAGATTTAAGGTGGCGGATTTCAAAAAAGCTGCTAAAGCCGTTATAAAGGCCACAAACTTGTTGCACTTTAAAATTTCTGAGTGCAAGAGATTTTTTACACCCAAAAGTGTATGTTAAGAGGTGAACCAGTGTACAAACACAACCTTGGCGAATATAAGTCAATAAGCAAGAAAAACAGGAACTCCAGATTAATGCGGTCAAGTTTAGAATGTTCCCACATTGATTGTATAGTTAAATTTTATAACTATTAAAGAAATAAAAATACAATTATTTTTTTGTTTATTTTTCTAAATTTTGCAAGATTGTAACTAAAGTGAAAATCTCCTTAAACGTTTACAACAAAATGAGCAATCTCCAGCAATTCATATTAAAGTCAGCAATCTCCAATTTATAATTATAGATTTCCCTTATACTATGCATCCTGGAGACCTTGTAGGTGGCTACTAGAGTAACAACAACAATATTTTAATAAAATATATTAAAAAATTACAAATCCAGAATTTAAAATACCAAAATCATTTATCTCAATTTACTCAGTTTTAGTCTGACGGAAGATTGTTGACTTTGCTCTAAGGGTCGTTATATTTCATTCGTAATCGTGTTTTTTCGCTCGTTATAATACGTTCTACTTTATCGATATAAAAATACTATATCGATAAAGTAGAACGCACCATTATCAATAATAGGATATTTATTATTCCGTCGCGTTACTACCGCAGCGTGGGTATTTATGTTCTTAAATTAAAAAGAATTAGGCATTAGTGATTATAAACGTAATGAAAATCTGTATACTATAGTAAATTAATGCCTGTCGAAATATATTTAATTATACGTAGATATACCTATAAGAGGTATGTTCTTTTTATTTTGTAATTTAATTTGAACATAATAAAAATAATATTGTATTTTAAAATACATTATTGGTTACCCAAAGGGCTATTGACCTTGGTCTTTCTGCCTGTTAAATTATACATTATGTAAGATGTTCACTATTTGAATTAAATTACAATTTTTACCAGTAATAAAAAAACAATAGTTATCTAACTTGAAAAAAAAATATAAGAGATATATATTTTTCTTTGAAGTCTTGTAGCTAATCCAATATTGTTTTTTCGGGAAATTTCCGTTTTCTTGTTGCAGCACCGTTGAGGATGAACGGCTCAATTAATTGTAGGTTGTGTTCATTTAAGGAGAATTTGGTGGCCAGCATGACAATTCTTTCGGAAATGGGAACAACTGGTATTCTACTATATAATAGTAGTGTTCTAAGACAGCGACTTCTATGTTGTTACGTGTTTGGCCCTTGCACGTTGATAGAAGGATGGAGCCATATTTAATGATTGGGCGACAAATCATTTATAGCTTCATTCATAGCTTAGGGATCTGAAGTGGCAAGCCCTCGCTTTTGTTTTGTCTTTTATGATCTTAGTGTGTGCTTTGAAGTCTAATCTACTGTCTAGGGTGATTCCCAGATATTTTACTGATTTTGATAGATTGATTTCATGATTTAGTATGGTTATTGTGGGGGAGTTTTCAGTTGTTCGGTGGTTAAATATAATAAACTGCGATTTGGCTGGGAAAGGAGAGATACGCCAGCGAGCAAACCATTCTACCTTTTGTAGTTGTTGACTGCCTTGTCTCTGATTCTGGCGTGGGTTATTAGTGCAGTGTCGTCCGAAAACTGTAGGATATATTGTTCTGGGGAAGTGGGCTAATGTCGTAAGAGTATAGGTTGTATAGGTCTGTGGAATATTAAATTCTGTTGAATGCATATCTGTTTTTTTAAGGTAATATCCTCATTAATCCAAGTTTATTTTATGTCACAGTTACAAGGCTTTTCAGCGCAAAAAAGTCATACTTAAATATTGCAACTTTATTCAGAGACGGTTGGGGGGCCTATATAAGTTTGGGTTTTGTCAAAGAAGATTTCTTACATTTGTAGATATTAAACAACTTTTTAAATTGATGCAGCCTTCGGCTCGTCTTGCAAATTACACATTCATTAAAAAAGCTTCTGCACTTGTCAAGGGTGCGACACAAAAAACAAAATATTAACTTGATTTTGTTTTTAGATGGGGCTTTATAATACATTGCTGCATCGATAAGTACAGCCGATTAATGATCTATTCATCTTGCAAAATATCACTCCAGGAACAGCCTGTTTTAGAACTGTTTTTGGAAGCAGTAAAAGCACTGTTAGGTTGAATAACGGATACGAAAACTCACTCATCACTAGTAGATCTACTCATAACTAGCGAATAGAACGACTGCCCAATAAACATTTGGACGTAAAACTGACGTCGCCTAGGGCGACCTGACGTCGGCAGCCGACGTCATATGACTTACATTACGACAATCATTTGTACCTAAATGGAGCGAACGAATTTAGGTCGTCACGACGTCAGTTGCTGACTACTGAAGTCGAGATTTTTACCTATTTCGTCATCACGTTGCACAAACTAAAAAACTAACTTAAAAAACATAAAAAAGTTGTTATTTTATTTCAATGAACCGTAAAAATCTAAAAAAAAGCAAATCTCTCTTTAATGGCGTCCATCGTCACCTCCTCGTTTTGTTCACGAAAATGCGAAAATGGCGTAGTCAACAAATTAACCAAATTTGTCCACATACCAACCAACGGTCAATAAAAACACCTCAAAAAGACGTCTCAACGACGTCGGTAGCTCGAAATACCAACTTCCGACGAAGTTTGAGACCTCGAGTCATTTAAACTACCTATTTTTTCCTCGTAACCTACCTAACCTGAAAATTATATGTCAAACTGAAAAATTGCGCGCTTTTTTGTTAGGGAATTTCCTTAAGCTTCGCTAATTCGGTCAAATTTTAAAACCAATTGATACTTTTATAACTATTATTGTGTGTATTATGGAGCATTTTTTAATTTTAGATTTGGGGGAAGTGGAGCCCGTGCCCCATAAGTGGGAAGAGAAGGGGACTCTCTGGTTTCCAAAATCAGTGGGCCAAACGATTCTATTTCGAGAAGAAATTAATAGTTCTCCTGACAAAAAAAATTGGAGGCAATATCAGTGCAAAGTATTGGGACAAGGCCATGCCAGCTTTAAATTTGCCACAGATGCTGCAAATAATCACTGCGGTATGTCAGTGTCGGAGGCATCAGCATCTGAACCTCCAAAAATATATTGAAGACTAAAAGAGAGGTTAAACCTTCCTTAAAATATAAAAAGAATGGGGATACACCATCTTATAAATTGGCTAAGGAAAATAGTGTATCTCAACTAGCCAAAAAAGTGTGTCAGAAAAACACTTGAAATTGAAAAATTGAGAACAAAGTAGGAAAAGTAGCTTTCCAAGATTATGCAAATGATATAAATTTTACCAATGAAAAAATTGAGAAAATATACCCAAGGAAGAAAGAAACAGATCAGGAAGAAATCTTGTTCAAAGAACTGTTTGAAGAACAAGAAGAAAGTCTTGAAAATAGTATAGAGGATGAAACAATAAAGAATATTAATCGTAATAAAGAACCTGTGTTTTGTAATCCTCTCATAATAGCAAGCCAAGCTGACATCAAGGATATTTTGGAAGCTATTGATCCATGTAAGTAATTTTTTATTTATTTTTAACCATTGAGACATAAGTAAGCTGTTTTTTCAATTTTTTTTGTAGGTTTAGTTTAATGTTTTTTTGTTTTATAGTGGTGTAATTTTTTTTTGCCAAATTATATATGCTCTTAAAACCGAGCTCAAAATAGCCTGTGTGATAGGAGTATAAAATAGGGGTGGAGGGGTGGTTTACAAACTGGGTTTCTGAGGGGGGAATAAACCAAATTTTAACCTCTTCCAAGGTTAAATCCTTTTGTTGACTTCATATTTTTTGTTTTAGTTAAAGGTGAAGTTAATGAGAGACTTTATGGTTTACAGCTACAGGTTGAGCGTCTCGAAAATTTAATCCTTAACCCAACCCAACCATTGATTGAAGAAGGAGAAGAAAATCTGGAGCTGTTCCCATTAAGCACCATTACTGGAGTTAATAACTTTGAAAGAAAATTAACAAATGAAAATTCTAAGAAAAAGATGATTATTCACCTTAAAAAAATAGTGGGGAGTGGATTTGTATATTAATATACAATTACACTCAATACTTTTTATCTAGATAGGTGAATTGTTAAAATTGCTGTAGGTGTATGGTTTTTTTTCATATATAGTTGGTTACAAAAAAATAACACTTATGCATTGTTGAAACAAACAATAAATGACAATTTATTGTAATGTGACATTACTAATGTCAATACTGTTGTTAAATCTGGCGATTTAAACATATAAAATTATATAAAATTTCAATAATTTAAATTTAATTTAAGTGTTCCAAATTATTTGTTTTACAATCAACTATTTGTCAATCAGCAAAATTATAAATTTCGACCTCAATTAATCTTAAAGTAATCATTTTTGTACCTGTGTTGTTACCAAATGTGGTCACACAAATATAAATTAATATTACTTAGGTTAACAAAAGTATGTATATAAATAGTGATAATTTAATAAATAAAAATCAGTTACATTTTAACTCACAAACTCAACTTTACTATTGCCCCAAGCCACAAACCCTTAGAACGTGAGGCTGCGTTCTACAGTAGTAAACAACCAGCAGATAATTTATCAATTATCTCTGGTCAACATTAACATAACAGCATTGCTGTTATACATGGTCCTTCGAACCGGATTTGAACCAGTGACCTAATATACCAATCAACCCCAACCAATCAACTGGAAGCTAAGTCCAACCAACACAAACAACCGGGATTTACGACCCCGAGCTACAGTCCAAGGATCTACAGTCCACACGGCGAACCTTGGACCTACAGTCCAAAGATCTACAGTCCACCCTGCGACCCATGGATCAACCAACACAAACAACCGGGATTTACGACCCCCAGCTACAGTCCAAGGATCTACAGTCCACACGGCGAACCTTGGACCTACAGTCCAAAGATCTACAGTCCACCCTGCGACCCATGGATCAACCAACACAAACAACCGGGATTTACGACCCCGAGTTACAGTCCAAGGATCTACAGTCCACACGGCGAACCTTGGACCTACAGTCCAAAGATCTACAGTCCACCCTGCGACCCATGGATCAATCAACACAAACAACCGGGATTTACGACCCCGAGTTACAGTCCAAGGATCTACAGTCCACACGGCGAACCTTGGACCTACAGTCCAAAGATCTACAGTCCACCCTGCGACCCATGGATCAACCAACACAAACAACCGGGATTTACGACCCCGAGCTACAGTCCAAGGATCTACAGTCCACACGGCGAACCTTGGACCTACAGTCCAAAGATCTACAGTCCACCCTGCGACTGATGGATCTACAGTCCAAAGATCTACAGTCCACCCTGCGACTTATGGATCAACAGTCCAAAGATCTACAGTCCACCCTGCGACGTATGGATCAACAGTCCGAAATTATACAGTCCAAAATTCTACAATCCACCCGACGAATCTTGGACCTACAGTCCAAAGATCTAAAGTCCGCCCAGTCACCTATGGATCAACCAAGGTGCCTGAACCAAGGAAAACCTCCGAGTCAGCAGCCGCCTTTATGCTGTTCAACCAACCGGAGCATCCCCAACCCACCTAAACAGCAAGAAACGACCGGGAGTTACGACCCCGAAAAGATGGTGAGCTGCCCATATGACAGCAACCACAGAGTCCTGGCGAAGAGGTTGCCATATCATAAGATAAGGTGCCTCAAAACCAACCCACAGGCCGGGACCAAACCAACTACATCTCCCATTAACTCCTTTGAACACCAGGCATATAAATTAAGAATGACTCAGCCACCCGTACATGACGTATCAGAGTCCTGGCGAAGAGGTTGCCATATCATAAGATAAGGTGCCTCAAAACCAACCCACAGGCCGGGACCAAACCAACTACATCTCCCATTAACTCCTCCGAACACCAGGCATATAAATTAAGAATGACTCAGCCACCCGTACATGACGTATCCCTATGGGAAAATGAAGAGGAAGAGTGGCAGCTGCAGAACGGCAGCTACTTAGACTATCTCCCACCAATGCGGCAAATCCAACCACGAGCCAGGAAGAACAAGAAGAGATAACAAAGGAACCACACCACCTGAGGCAGCTCCTCGATCACAGATAGAGATGATAAATCTCCAACCAATATATGCGACAGTTTCCCACTCTCTTGCCGAGTCGCCAGAATGTTAAATCTGGCGATTTAAACATATAAAATTATATAAAATTTCAATAATTTAAATTTAATTTAAGTGTTCCAAATTATTTGTTTTACAATCAACTATTTGTCAATCAGCAAAATTATAAATTTCGACCTCAATTAATTTTAAAGTAATCATTTTTGTACCTGTGTTGTTACCAAATGTGGTCACTCAAATTTAAATTAATATTACTTAGGTTAGCAAAAATATGTATATAAATAGTGATAATTTAATAAATAAAAAGCAGTTACATTTTAACTCACAAACTCGACTTTACTATTGCCCCAAGCCACAAACCCTTAGAACGTGAGGCTGCGTTCTACAGTAGTAAACAACCAGCAGATAATTTATCAATTATCTCTGGTCAACATTAATATAACAGCATGGCTGTTATACAACTGTGTTCATTTTTTTTAAATCAGCACTAAACTCATACTTAAAACCTATTCCAATCCGAATTCTAAAAAGTACAAAAATTAACAAGTTTTTTTTATCACCAATTACGAGATTTAAAATATGACTGTGACACTATATACAGGGTGATTCAAAACTCGAGGCGAAAAATTAAGGAATGTATACAGTTTTATATTCTTGATAAAAAATGTAAAATAAAATTTTTGGAGATATGGCTTTGTTTCCGAGATATTAGACTTCAAAGTATTTGCATGTGATCAATTTTTAACTTTATTACATAATATAAAAAATAAAAAATAATTAAATCAAATGTTCAAAAATACCACCATTAGCGCGAATACAGGCTTGGCAACGCAAAATAAGGGAATCGTATACTAATTGCATGTTTTGTCTATTTTGAGTGCTTTCGACTGCATTAATAATTTGTTCCATTAATTGTTCTTGGTTATTAATTTCCACTGCGTAAACCAGTTGTTTTAAATGGCCCCATACAAAATAGTCCAAAGGGTTCAAGTCAGGTGATCTCGCAGGCCATAGCACCTGACCACGCCGACCAATCCATCTCCCATTAAAAGTTTGGTTTAACCAGGCGACAACATTTCGTCCAACATGCGGTGGTGCTCCGTCGTGCTGATACCACATACGATTGTATACCAAATCCACAGGAAAATCTTCCAGCAAATTTGTGAGATCGTTTTCTAAAAATTGCAAGTACGCATAGGCATCTAAACGATTAGGAAGGACTTGAATCGAAAGTAATTGTCCGTTAAAGACTCCGCCCCATACATTAATAGAGAACCTTTGTTGAAAATTTCTTCTTTTAAAAGCGTGAGGATTTTCTAAAGACCATACATGTTCATTACGGCAGGTATTTATGCCATCCCGAGTAAAAGTAGCTTCGTCCGACCAAAGCGTCTCTCTGAAGAAATTTTCATTTTGTTCATGCTGCTGAAGAAGCCATTGACAAAAGGCGAGTCGTTGCATGTTATCTCCTGGGTGCAAATTATGTACTTTTTGTTTATGAAATGGATGTAAAACTTCGGTTTTTAAGGTTCTCCAAGCAAAACTTTGGGATACATTAAGACGGGCAGCAATGCGTCTGGTACTAATTTCTGGATTATCAAGCACACAATCTATCACTTCTTCTTCCCTCACAGCATCATAATAATTATTTCGGGTAGCACCACCAGCACCAGTACGGGAATTACCAATTCCAAACTCTCGTAGCCTTTGATAAGCATCGGAAAACACCCGGCGAGATGGTTGTCGTTTATTAGGGAATCTTTTGTTATACTCCCGACAAGCTTTTAATGCGTTGCCATCACAAAAACCGTACACAAAAATAATATCTGCATATTCTTCGTTAGAAAACTGCATGATTAACAAAACAACTAATCCAACAAAGCAACTTTTAAATTTGTAAACAATTTTTGTTGACTGTCACCAGGTGACAGTAAACTCACTTATTTCTAAGCTTACTGTAATTTATGAAATTAAATTAGTTGCATACAGAAACTTTAAAGTCTAATATTTCGGAAACAAAGCCATATCTCCAAAAATTTTATTTTACATTTTTTATCAAGAATATAAAACTGTATACATTTCTTAATTTTTCGCCTCGAGTTTTGAATCACCCTGTATGTATATGCTCATTATTTTCTTCTACCATTTTAGTTAAAAAGCCATTATACTTTCATTGCATATTTGCTGCTCCGTCAGTGAAGTTTGCGATACAATTCTCAATTTTTTTCTAGTACTGTTTTAAGCTTTGTATAAAAACCCTGACCAGAAGTATCATGACATGGAATGACTTAATAATATTTTATTAATGCGTTGCTTTGCTTATCCATGTTTAATAATTAAAAAAAAACAACTACTACAACACATACAACACGCTTACTTGATTTTATGAAATTTTATAAAATACCACGTAAAGCCTATAGCTACAAAAAGCTCTGCAAACGCAACCGATATTAAATTATTCCAATCGTCAGCAAAAACAAATTCGGGGAAGTCCCTTATTTCCGAAAGCCAAAAGGAATAATTTCATTTCGATAATGCCAACCTTTCTATCATGCCAACGCTCCTGTATCCAAGCCAACGAGTTACTACATACATATTTTTTTAGTTTAAATGTTTTATGTTTTAAATATTTTTTTAGTTTGAATGTTTTCAATAGTTTTCTTGGTGTTTTTGTCAAACATATATTATTAATTTAGACACGTAGCAGCTGCGGCCCGACCGGCCCTCAATTGTACCGGTACCGGTTGCCCGGTCGTCCCATCCAACCCTGACCCCGACTCTTTAAACTCTAGCAGGCATACTCTGGATCAGTTGGGCTGGCCATTCCTTTCTATTAATACCTTGAAATTCTAATCTTACAATGCGTGCATGATGAGGGCGAGCAATATCATCAACTAAAATGAAATTCTCGCCGATTGCACCCGCAAAT